TCCATTAGCCTGAAAGGTGGTTCAACTATGTTTGCGAGACAAAAATTTAAAATGCTCATAAAGTTCAAAAAACGTGATATATATTATTTTCACAAAATACTTTCAATGCAAAGGAATGAATGCTCTTTTAGATTCCAATAAACAGCAGACCCTAACGTCGAATTGTTCAGACATAATAATGTTCAACAAAAAAAGTGGTTCACCTATCCCCACTCTTCCCTAAGTCGGAACGGGCCGGATCGGGCGACTATATAGGATAGCTCCCATACAAGAGATTAAATTAAAAAATTCTAACGCCGTGGTTTTTGATCAGATCGACTTGATTTCTTCGAGATGGCGTTTTCTGACCACTATTGAATTTCTGATAAAATTTTATCAAAATCGGATAACTCCACCATATAGCTGCCATACAAAAGATCAAAATATATACACGTATATATAAATAACTAGCTGCCCGTCCCAGCTTCGCCCGTTTTTTTTTTTAAATAGTTACCTTTCACACAAATATTATAAAGAGGTAAATTTGTTTGCTTGTTTGTTTGTTTGTTTGTACTCGCGTCCTCGCGCACGCGCTATCATTATCACTATTTCTAACAATTTTATTATTGTAACAACTCCCAAATTTATTATTGTAACCATATATCCGATTTGAATGAATTAAAAAAAATATTGAAAGCTAGATACATACCCTTGATAATAAGGATAAGGATTCATGTCATGACGCGAGTTTAACCTATTTTTGTTCCTGAAGGCGAATTCATTTTATTTTTGAACACAAAAACTGTTATTTTTGGCTAAAGTATGATCGTAGAATAAACAACCTCGCGGACTTTTTTGCAGATATTAGTAATACCTATAACACCGTAGTACATTATTTTTCTTTTTTTTTTTGTTCTATCATCAATAGTTTTGCCAGCGAAAGAAAGATTTTTATTTTTCCACCTTTTGTTAAAATATTGCAATTTTCTTCCGGATACCAAATTTTTTTCAAAATAAATTATAGCCTATGTTACTCCCCGATAATGTAGCTTTTTATCGGCCAGTAGTTCCGGACCCTATTCTTTACAAAAAAACAAACAAATTTGACCTCTTTATAATATTAGTGTGATTACCTACTGAGTTTGCAATTTATAAGCGGAAAATTTGTAAAATTATTAAAACATTAAAAACCCTACAAAAAATAAAAATTTTTTTAACATATTGTGAATCTAAACCATCCTCAAACCGCCTGGAATAGGTACACACAAAAAATTTCATTAAAAAAGGTCCGGCCGTTTAGGAGGAGTGCAATGACTAACACGCGTACAGAAGATTTCTTCAGAAGATTTCTCGTTACACGGGAACGCTGTCGAAATGTTACATAAAACGAAGCCATCACCAAAACCACAAAAAACTTCACTTCACTTCAATTTTCCAAAACCACAAAAATTGAGTTAAAATGCTATGGTAGCGTATGTTTGTCAGTGTGATGAGGTAGTAACTCACTTTATATGCGATTTTTGGTATGTCGAACGGGATAAAAAGTATCCTATGTCCTATTCCTGGCTCTAAGCTACCTCCCTACCAATTTTCAGCCAAATCTGTTCAGCCGTTCTTAAGTTATAAGTGGTGTAACTAACACGACTTCATTTTATATATTAGGTTGTTTGGTAATGGCATACCGGTTTCTTTATTGATTTTTGACGACGATTTTAAACTAGTTAGCATTGTCCATATTGTTACCATTTTGATGGTAACTTGTATATGCCTCTCCGAAAGAAGTCCTTGTCCCTACTGGCAAAAAACTCGGCGATTCGATTTTCACAATCCTCCCTTGAACTCAATTTATTATTATAACCTAATATTTGGTTGTTTGGTATTAACATACCGGTTTTTACATTCAAATTTCGCGCTTCGCTTGTGAAGTCAAATATAATCGTATCTGGCAATGCTGTATATCGTTTGAAAGGTATTGTGACTGTCAATTAATTATAGACAAATTGTCGTATCTTGCAATGATGTATATCGTTTGAAAGGTATTGTGACTGTCAATTAATTATAGACAAATAATTTGCAATAAAATAAAATTGCGACTATAATTAAAGATCTAAGCTATCCTATCTCTCAAGTTGGACCAGACTGCTCACGGTGTGCCAATTTAATTTAAAATCGGTTAAGGGGGGGTAGGTTTTAAAAAATTTTTTCTTTTATTTTTTTTTCTGAATGACCAATATGTCAAGAACATTGTGTTCAAATTTTGAGTCAATTAAAGTCAAACTAACGGAGTTACAGCGTTTTAAACAACCGTAACATCAGAACTAAAAATCTACTGAACCGATCCTTTTCAAATTTTTAACACAAATTCTCAACATAAATACGCAGGTAATCAGGAAGAGTTTTTTTTAATTTTTAATTTTTTTCTATTTTTAAAAAATAAATTAACAGCGATTTTTAAAGCTAAAATCGCACTTTTCACTTTCAAGTGCTCCCAAAAATAGACAAAAAATAAATTTAAAAAAAACTCTTCCTGATTACCTCGGGAAATTCATTATCTTTACAACGCATATCACATTTTATTTTTAAGATGATCCGTTAACGCCCTATGATGTTCACCGCAAAACAACTTTTTCTTTAGGCGCTTCGGAAGATTAACCGCCACAGGCTTATTTCTTAATATTTTTTAATAATTTTTTTTTCGAATACTCTTCAAAAGTTAAACAATAACATGTAATTAAGCTCAATAAAATAAACTTACTCATTTCGCCGCAAAAAAAAATCAATCATGGCCCTTTTTTTGGCCCTTAAAACTTTACCCCCAAGTCAGTTCTAGACTTATGTATTGTAAAGTCATCTGGGGCGCTGTGAACCATGAGGGAATATAAAAATAACAAAAGGCAAATATTATTTTTAAGTTATTGTAATTGCGCCTGGCATAAAATGAATAAAGGGTATTATAATCACAACGTTCATTCACGCGATTGGCAAGTGCGCTTCCGGAATCATCGCCGCCCATAAAGTAGATTTGTAAGAATTTATGTGGTTCGTTTGGCATTGGCAGCAGTGAGCCCATTTTATGATAAACATAGCCTCTGATTTTGAATGTCGAATTGTAATTTTGACAATTTGCATTAGTATTTCGAACTATTTCTGTTGCTCCGAACGATGTCATTTGAAAGCATGAATTGAATGTTCGAATTGACTTCAGGAACACGTTAGAGTCTGGATCCGTGCCGATAAGTAAGCCGTTCAATGGTTCAGCTAGTATTTCAATTTCTGGTAGTTGCACATTTCCTGACGCGCAACACATCCCCGCTGGCTCATTTTTGAATTTCAGAGCATGACAATGCTGACATTCCTTGTCCATTTCTAGCACCAATTATCGGTCTCATACTGGAATGCTAGACGCAGGAATGAATCAGATATAAAAATGATCGTTGTACCTGTTGTCGTTGTTGGTCATTTGTTTTGATGCTCACCGCAAAACAACTTTTTCTTAAGGCGCTTCGAAAGATTAACAGCCACAGGCCACATCCGGCTCGATGAATGAGGATGGTAGACCAACAATCAGAAAGTGGGCTGGCGTTAGCACATCCAGATCAGCGGGATTTTCCGAAATTGAGACTAAAGGCCGGGAGTTAACTACTGCCGAAATATGGCACAGAAGAGTCCGCAGCTCGTCGAAGGCCAACACTGAAGGTCCAATAGCGCGGTAGAAATGCTACTTCGCAGTCTTTACCGCAGCTTCCCAGAGACCACCAAAATGTGGCGATCTGGTAGGAATAAAGCGCCAATCAATAAGCTCCGCTGGGCAAAAGTCCAACTTCGCTTTCTGATGCTCGTCGCTGTGGAATAGGCGTCTTAACTCAAGCAGCTAATTGCATGCACCCACAAAGTTGGTTGCATTATCCGACCAAAAGAAGACCGCTTCTTCTGGTGCATATAAATCTCTTGAGGCCATGCAGAAATGATACCGTTAAAAGATCCCTGATCAACTCCAAGTGAATGGCCTTTGTTGCGAAGCAGATAAAGACGCAAACGTAGTATTTCACTGGTTTCGCATTTCCGGCTTGTAAAAGAATGGTCCGAACTTCGTTCAAAAGCATTAAGCATTTGTTCACGACTTTGCTAACCGGCTTCCTCCCCCCAATAGGCCTATACTGGGATCGAATTATGCAGAGTAGGGCCCGAGGTCCAGTGTGTGATTAAATATATATTTCGTGTTTAATGTGTGCAGACAGCTACCAATTGTGCCTGCCAAACACCGAAATGAACTCGAACTTTGAATCAGCAGTCTTTCTGGAGGTCACCCAGGCATTCGACCGCGTTTGGTTAGACGGCTTGATTTATAAAATTAAAAATTTGCTTCTACAAAACACCCATAAAATACTAGAGTCATATCTTGTGCATAGAAGTTCGCAGAACGGTGTAAAGATTTCCCCCGATCACCATCCAATTGAAGCTGGAGGACCTCAAGGAAGCGTGCTTGGACCAACGCTGTATATAATCTACACAGCATATCTTCCGACAACCAGTCTTACAGTAACTTCAACATTTGCTGATGATCCCGCCATTTTATGTCGATATAAGTGCCCCATATAATAAAATGTATCAATAATTAAATGTCCACTAAATGTAGACACTTTTCTATGGGCTTGTAGTTAAATATTTTACCGCTTTGTTTTAAAAACCTTCCAGGAAATTGAAAAATCAACCCATCAACCCTCCCCACTTTTTAAAGTTAACATAAATCGTCTGTTTCTTTTAATACTATACGATTAATAATCAATCCTGCCCTTTTTTAAAAATTTGTCAGTTGCTCGTCCACTCAGCGTTTGCTTTCCCTACCTTATCCTTATCCTTCCAAATCTTATTGATCATTAACCTTTTTTTAAGTCTACAAAATCCATTTAGTAAGCCAGACCTGAAATTTATATACTACTCAGAAGTTTGCAAGAAAAATTTTATTTTCTTATTTGAAAAATAAAAATAATAACAAGTTTTATTTATACATATTTTTATAGCACAAAGCTAAGCGGCACTCAAAAAAAATATGTGGTCCAAATTCCGATGAAGATCAACCAGATGATATTTATGACAGTCAAACTGGTGTTATGTCTGTTAAAAATGATTGGTGGCGCAAGTATCTAACAAAAAAAGATTTAGAAACTATTATTCCAAGTAACAAACTACGCCTGATGTTTTCAATTCTTCGCATGTGTGAGGAAAAAGGTGAAAAATGGTAAGTGCTTATAATATGATATATTTCTTCACAATAAGTAATACTTATTTTTAAAGAACAGTAAATATAAAAAAAACAAGTTAATGTCAAATAATTGTTAAACTACTGACATTACAAAATATTTCGTTTCTTACCACTGTTTAGATATAATGAGGAAGGCCGAAGTTCGAATTTCGAATTAAATTTTATCAAAAATATGATATAGTTATCCGATTTTAATAAAAACTAATTTGAAATGTAATAGTAGTTAGAAAACACCATCAAGCAACGGCGTAATTTTTTTTTTTTTATTGTCTCATATGGGAGCTATCCGATATAGTCGCCCTTTTTCTCCAAAATTTCGAGTGCTTCATCTGATTCTTAAAGGAGGAAAACCCGCTACGTACAAATTGAAATATGAGAATCATTAGAAAACTTTATAGTCCAAAAATTATTCTTACGGGACGCGGCGTCTTTTCTAAAATTCGTTAAGATTTGTTTCATGGTTTCATGACGATCCATTTGCGTTCTAATCAACTCGTCGCATGAAAAACCTTCGCCGTCGTTCGCCATCGCTTAGTTAATTTAACAAAAATGGATCAGCACTGTACTCCACGAGATGTAGATAATATTTATGTAAATGTAGATGTACCTATAATAATTTGATTACAGTTTGGAACTATGCCCGGTTTTAGAAGCACTGAGTATGAAAACCCGCTAAAAAAATAGGTATCGAATCTCACACAAGCACTTACCGTTTCCTTTGCATAACTGACCTTAGACAATTGTGAAGGGTATGAGAAGGCGCTGCGAAGCTGATGTGTTGAATTCTCTTTTGCTCCTTCGTTCCAATTCCAGCGGCGTGATGCGACGATCTATTTGCACGTTTATGTACACATGTACATATGTATGTATGTGTATATATATAATATCGAACGGATCCGCCGTTAATATGTGGGATGTGTGTATTTAGGTAATGTGAATTGGAGTTGGAAATTTCTAAGAATTACAAAAAAGAATTAAATTGATTATGATCACACATTAACTTTTGTTAAGCACTTCAAAGTTCCCCTCATGGGCCACCAAAATGTTTTGTGTCGACTGAGCTAGGTATTGCTGCAAGCCTACATTGTTCGTAGGGGTTCTAACTTTGAAACACACGATATTTATTTTAATGTTTAACAAACTTTAATGCTGGGACGGTGGCCCAGCAGGTAGAGCCCTGGCCTCCGGTCCGGAAGGCCCGGGTTCGAGTCCCAGGCTCCCCGAGAAAAAGAAACGGTCTCTTTTTCCAAATCTCCACCACTTCTATGCTTTATCGCTCACTTAACATTAGTAACAAATTTCGGCTCCCCGGACCCGCACACCCCCTTTTTTTTTTTTTTTTTTTTTTTTTTTATGGAGGAGGTTAAAATCCAATGCTTGCACCCACTAACCTATAACAATCCTCCTCCCCTGGCTGAATTCCACCCCGGAACCGAGTAAACATTACTACGGGGTGGAGCCGTTTTGTGCTGTTAGCACGCCTGGTACCCACGTCCGGGTCCCCTGTCCTTGGCGTATGGAGACGATACGCATCGATAGTTCCACATGAGTGGAACGTCGGAAGCGATTTTGCCTGGGATCAAGCGCAATCGATTTGTCTTCTGTCTGGTTCTGTTATGAGCTATGAACTCAGGCGTCTGTTAACGTCGTCAGTTCTGGTGTCCTCCTTTGTTCCCGCTCCAGTTCTTGGAGCCTTGTCATCACAGAGTATGCGAACGCTGTCATTGCCTTCCATTTATCTCTGGAAGAGCACATATCGTGCGTGATAATTTCAGCAGATGGAGAGTGCCCAAGTACTGCCTCCAGTGTTCGTCGTTCTTCTTCGAAGCGATCGCAGTGGAAAGCAACATGTTCTGCGCTTTCGATTTCGTTGGGGCAGTTGGGACAAAATGGACTGTCTGCTAGCCGAAAACGATTAAGGTATCCGCGGAAACAGCCGTGACCGCTGATGATCTGCGTTGTGTAGTAGTCGATATCGCCGTGTCCACCTTTTATCCACTCACTTATTTGTGGTATAAGTTTATAGGTCCAGCGTCCATCATCCGATTGGTCCCACCGTTGCTGCCATTTTCGTATGGACCGCGCTCTTTCGGCCTCTTTTTGTTCGCGTGTTGGCCTCACTCCTTGCTTGCTGTACAGACGAGACAGCTCCTCTGCCAGCAGATCGACTGGTGGCTTTCCCGCGATGACACAGATTGCATCGTTTGATACAGTTCTGTATGCGCAGCCTATTCGTAGAGCACTTTGTCTGTATATCTGTGTTATCCCTCGCAGATGGGACTTTTTGGCTCCTGCCCAGATCGGTGCTGCGTACATAGTGATCGAGTCTGCAACCGTTGACAATAATGCCCTTCGTTGCCCTTGGGGTCCTCCTACGTTGGGAAGTATTCTTGTCAAGGCGCTCGTGACCGCTGATGCCTTACCGCTTACTCCCACTAGGTGCTGCTTGAAGCTTAATCTCGTGTCGATCAGAACTCCAAGATATTTAATGGCTTCTTGGGAAACTATTTCATGACCATCAATAGCAATTATCATTTTCTCCTTTTTTCTGCGTGCACTTATCAGTACTGCTTCCGTCTTCTGTGCTGCTAGCTCTAACCCAGCGTTCCTGAGCCATCTTTGTATCCGTGATGCGGCGTCCGTGCATTTCGCCTCTAACAGGTCCAGCCTTTTGTCCACTACTACAAGCGCAATGTCGTCTGCATATCCCACGATGTTCGCCTTGTCCGGGAGTTTCAGCCTCAGTACCCCGTCGTACATAGCATTCCACAACGTTGGTCCGAGGACAGATCCTTGTGGTACACCACCTGTTACTCTATAAGTTTTTGAGCCGGTGTCCGTTTCATATTGTAGTATGCGGTCACGGAAATAGCTTCGTATAATGCGGAGTAGATAGCTCGGTACTCTCAGGTTTCTAAGCGATAGCAGAATCCTGGACCAGTTAGCCGAATTGAACGCATTCTTTACGTCGAGTGTGATAACTGCACAGTAACTCATATGCAGGTGTCCTCCACTTATGGCATTCTGTGCGATGTCTGTCACTGTCCTGATAGCATCCACCGTTGACCTTTCTCGTCGAAAGCCAAACTGAGTATTTGAGAGCCCAGTAGGGCATTCTAAATACTCCTGCAGGCGATCGCAGATCACGCGTTCAAAAACTTTACCAACTGTATCCAGCATACACAACGGTCTGTAGGAAGATGGTTGGTCGGGTTGCTTGCCGGGTTTCAGCAACAGCACCAGTCGCTGAAGTTTCCACCGAGATGGGAAAGTTCCTTCTGTAAGGCATGTGCTGTAGATATGCGCAAAGATGTGTGGCGTTTCCATTGCCGCTGCTTTGAATACCATGTTTGGGACTCCGTCTGGTCCAGGGGCTTTGTTGTCTTTGATGCGGCGCAGAGTGCTTAGCACCTCTTCCATTGTAACCGGCGGCACGTCGCCTGGCTCGATCGTTGGCAAAGCTTCGACACTTGTTTCCTCCTGTGGTGGGAAGAGTGTAAGTACCGCTTTTTCTAGCAGTATTGGACACTTCGGCTGTGGTGCTGAGGGTCCTTTCACCTTTCGCATGACAGTTTGGTATGCCATACCCCAGGGTTCGACGTCAGCTCTGTCCCGCATTTCTCTAAAGCAGCGATTTTTGCTCCGCACAATTGCTTTTTTTAGCTCCCATTTCCGCTCACGGTATACGCCATGTAGTTCTGCAAAGGTCGGTCGAAGTGTTGCGCGTTTTGCTCTCCGTCGCGCCTTGATGCAAGCTTTGCGTAAATCGGCTATCTCGCTTGTCCACCAGTATGCCGGTTTCCGTTTTCCACCGTACCTCCCTCGCGTCATTGATGCGTTGCAGGCTGCTTCAATTTTGTGAGCAATTTCTTCTGCAATAGCTTCCGCTGTGGTACCTTGTAGGTGTGTACCCTGCCACGCTAGCTTGAATGCCTCCAAATTAAAGGAAGATTTTTTCCATTTCGGTCGTGTCGCTCTGCACTCTGCTTGTGGTGTTCCCCTGCTTAGCTCCATAATTATAGCTTTGTGATCGCTATGAGTATGGATTGAGTCTTCCACCTTTCAGGTTGCTCGATTTGCGGTCGCTCGATCTGCGAAGGCTAGGTCGATTATCGATCTTCCTCTGGCGCATTCGAAAGTGTGGACTCCTGGCGCATTCAGTAACACAAGATCCAACGCTGCAGCAGTTTCCTCTACTAGACGACCTCTTGCATTTGTAAAGTCGCTGCCCCAGGTTCTTGACCAGGCGTTGAAGTCTCCTGTAAGCAAAATCGGCCTCTTTCCTCTTAGCTCCAGCTCCAAAGAAGTCATCATGCTTGTGAATTCTTCTACAGACCACCTTGGGGGCGCGTAACAGCTTACATAGTAGAGGCCGTCTAGTTTGGCCCATACAAATCCGCCGCCGGTTGTCATCTTCTGCTGGAACGTTTTGTTTCCCGTGATCCAGATTGCCGCCTGCTTCACAGTATCTGTTATCCAGCGGTGTGATTCGATATCTTTGTACGGCTCCGTTAGTAAGGCTATGTCGATTTTATGCTCCGCTGTTGTTTGCCATAGTAGATCCTGTGCAGTTCTGCAGTGGTTAGTGTTCAGTTGTAGCACCCTCATATTCTTATTTTACGGACTGCCTCCTGGTATTTTGGACATTTCGCGCTGCCTGCTGCATGTGTCCCTTTACATAACGCGCATTTTTCCTCGTTTGTGCATCTCGCTGCTTGGTGTCCTTCGGTGCCGCAGCGTCTGCAAAGCTTTGTGCGGTCCGGTTCTTTACACGCGTTTGCCACATGGTCGTATGCCCAGCATTTGTAACACCTTTTTGGTGTTTTGACCTCGGTTATCCGGCATCGGATCCATCCAACCATTATGTGGCCGAGGTCTAGGATCTTCTTCGCGACCTCCGCCTGCAGCGATACGTAAACGGATTGCGTGCCGCCGTATGTGTCGCGCCTGCTTTTGATGGACGATATGTCCGGTCGTTTCACTTGAGCCTGTTTCGCAATCGCCTCAAGAAGTTCCTCGTCTGTGCTGAGCTCGGGAATGAGTCCCCTACACTGAACAGTGACAGTGTGAGTCCTGACATTTACCGTTGCCATTTTCTCCAACGCTTTTTCTATTGCCGAGTGGTAAGAGCTCGCTTCGTTGCCCTTGCCCCTCTTTAGCTCGATCAGAAGTCCACCCTTCTGAGTTGGTCGCAATGTCCTGACCTTTTCGCAGAGCTCCTTCAGTTCGGTGTTAGATCTCACCGCACGTAGAATGTCCGCGTAGGTTGTATGCTGCTCCTTCTTTTCAATAAGTATCGCATCAGACCGCGGCCTGACGGATTTGCTCATTTTTTTTGGTCTTTTCGTTTCCTTTTTTTCGACTTTTGTCCATTCCCCTTGAGTCCTGGATGCTTTCACTTTTGGTGGGTGCGGGGAGTCGTCGTCCCCCTTCTTTTTCTTTGCCTGCGGCGATTTCGCCATTGCAGGGGCAACATCCTTGGGGCTTTTGGCTCTTGTTCTTTTCGCCGACTGTGGGGCATTTGCGCTTATACGTGTTCTTAGGCTGTTCAGTTTAGGGGTGGGCAACAATTTTGCCTTGCGTTCCTCTGCTTCCAATTGCATAAGAACTTCTGTGTGGGCACTTTTTATGGTGCTGCACAGTTTCCTAATATCGCCATGTACGTTGCGACGTACATGCTCTTCCGAGCTTTTCCACTACCTTAGCGAGTGTAAGCGTGGGTGTCGGTGCTGCCTTCTCTGTCGGGCATACAACGAGTGCTTGTGAGCCTTGATTCAATGGTGCTGGTTGGTGCACATTGACATTGTTCACCAACTCATTGGTGTTTAGGTGAGTCGTCGGTGTAGCGGTCGTTTCAGTACCACTGCTTGTTTGTGGCGCTAGTCTGTTTACACGTCTTTGGCTTGAGACGCCTTCCTTTGTATTGTTTATTGGTGCTGCTGGTAATGGTGGAGATCTTGCGATCACAGAACTCCTCCTAAATACCTCTGCCAGTCCTCCTGTTGCAATGTTTTCATTGCTGTGTGCGACGTTGTTGTTGTTGTTTGGGTTTAGTTCTGGGTTTAGTTCTTTTAAATCCATGCAGTAAGGGCCCCAACTTACAGCCGCTATCTCCACGCGTGCACGAAGTTTCCGTAAGTCCCATGGTTGTCTTTGAATCAGTGAGGTCATGCGAGGGTTGACACTGGCCTTTATGGGGTCCAGTGTTCAGAGCCAGACTTCAAACCGGAATAAATAGGGAGTCATCTCAACCTAACCTTCGTGGTCACTAAAGACTACGCGCTTCGAGCGCTCTGCAAGACAAGGTTTTATTGGGGCGGAGGAGGCTACGAATCCTTCTGAGAGCCATTTCAGCAAGATGTCACTCCGCGTACTCAGGTAACAGAGACCCGTAACCCCAGCCCGATGCTTCGTTTCATCCGAGTCCAGTATATCATAATCAGGATTTTACTGGTATCCATCCTGATGGTCTGCCGACCGGTTTACGCGTGTTGTTACGGCCGCTCCTAACATGGAGAACAGACGCCGACCAGGAAGCCGCCCGCTGTGGGATGCCCCTGGATTTTTGTACCTCATCATGCTTAAGCGTGATGAGTGGGACACATATTTTCGAAGAGGCGGTGTCTATTCGCCACTGTCACAGGGACATCATCGGATTTGCTAGCTTTTTAACCGCATCCTCCGCTCCTGCCGCTCATTGTCGGGGGTTGCTTATTCGTTTAAACTTATTTCGCAACTAACCTGCTACTACAGGCCGTCCGGCTATCCGCAACCTGCCGTCCCCCCCGGTAGCTTAGAGCCTAGCTTTCCATCCGAACCCGGATGGACCGGGTGGACCCGCACACCCCCTCGTCCACGTTACTATGGACCCAACAATAGAACTTCTCGTCACTCCTAGATGGCGCCAGGTGGCAACCCCACCGCTAGGATAAGTCGCTACTGGCTTATCACCAGTACGATCGAAAAAACCAAAGATATATGAATTCTCTTCAAAACTGTAGAGGCTTTATGCTCCCGGGTGGAGTTAAAGAATGTATTTTTTTTTTTTATAATTCAATTAATTCACAATAATATAATGAAAATGAGATATGTCGCGTAGATCTACTCCGGCGTTCAATCGACCGACTCTTAGACTTGACTTTTTGCTAATAACTAATGGTGGTCCTCTCTCAGAGAGAGCGATAGAGAGGAGACATCGCCGCTCTTTGCGATGTATGAAACCGAACACATACTTAGAATTGAGCGTGCTTGCGACAAAACTATAAGTTAGTTATCTAAACCAGAAGAAATATAAATAAATTCGAAAAAAATAGATTTTATTAGAAAGAAAAGAAAAGAAAGAAAAGTAAGAGAGAAAGCTTAACGTACCGAAACACGGGTATTATAGTGCTCGCATGTTGCCCACCCTACCTATGATCACCTGCCGCAAGAGCATGGCTCCGGTGACCCCTTTTGTACCCTACGACCGTGAAAACATCAGCTGAGTTCAGTAATTTAAGGTTTTAAGCTTCCATTTTTAATTGTTGAATTCAAGGAATTAAAACATAACATAATAAGAACTAGTATATAATTTCATAAAAGAGTAATGGACATGCAATAGTAATAATATTTTAATAATAGCATGGGTGGATAATAAAGATAGTGAGAATATATATGTTTTTAACTTATAGGATTTCGATTTGTTTTCAGTGTATAATAGTATTGGTTTAATAAAAAAGTAATAATTAGTAATTGGTTTTTGTTTCTTCAAATAAATTTATGACTTAGGAAATATTTTGAATAAATTCAAGATTAAGTTCAAATAAAGTCTTTTCATGTTCTAAGTACTTAACATTTATAGCTTAATATCTAAATGAAATATTTAAATTGATTTAATTCCAAGGTAGGATATTTAAATTAAAATTGCAAACTTCATTATTTGGGATTCCTTAAATTCTGGCTTTTGGTATTATCAAATGAGCTTAAAAAATTTTTAAATTAGCCATTCGAGACCAGTTTCAAGTTTCGTTTTCAAAAACAAGGATGGATAAAGAGAATAAACAATAATGTAAACTCACGGCAACTTATCCATCGACGAAAGATCGATCTCCCGACGCAGGCGTGCTGAAAAAGGTCTATGGCGTCTTAGACCATAAGATTACAAACAAGAAAGGAAGCTAGCTTTGGCAAGCCGAAGCTTATATACCCTTCAGTCATCAAATATTTCGAACAGAATACACAAAGGCTAAACAACATCGAAGCAACGACGACTTTTCTATTAATTTTTCATATTTTTGACTAATGTTCATATGGCAGCTATATGATATAGTTGTCCGATTTGTATGAAATTTTTTTTATCAACCAATGCTAGTTAAAAAACTTGATACTCGAAAAATCATAGTCGTGTGATGAAAAACAATGACGTTATCAATTAATTTCCATTAATTCTATATATATTTTTTGACCTCTCCTATGGCAACTATATGATAGAGTTATCCGATTTCGATAAAATTTAACCCGAAATTCAATAGTAACTAGAAAACGCCATGTGGAAGAAATCAAGTCGATCTGATCAAAAACAACGGCGTTAGAATTTTGTATTTCAATCTCTTGTATTGGAGCTATCCTATATAGTCGCCCGATCCGGCCCGTTCCGACTTATATACTGCGTGCAATAACTACACACCTTTTGGGAAAGTTTCAGCAAGATAGCTTTAAAACTGAGAGACTAGTTTGGGCAGAAACGGACAGGAGGACAGACGGACAGACGGACAGACGGACAGACAGACAGACGGACAGACGTACAGACGTATTTCGATTCAGATGGTGATGCTGATCAAGAATATATATACTTTATGGGGTCTAAGGTGTCTCCTTCACTGCGTTGCAAACTTCTGGCCAAAATTATAATACCCTTTGCTCTGCAAGGGTATAAAAATACTCAAATCCACTACATATTTTGAAAACGATTAAAATAAACTGTAAGCCAGTATTAATCCCGTTAAATTTTTTTTTTTGTTTGGGTAGAATTTAAAAATAGTTGATATTCTGCTCCATCAGTTACTCCGGGTTGATCGTCGTTGTAGTGTGAAGTTGCTTGCAAAGTGATTGGGGTAGTTTGCAGGAGATTAAATCAAACCAGGTATATGTTTACCTATTGTTTCTGTGATAGCTTTAAAATATAGTCGTCCGATAAAAAAAATGTAATCCAAATTAAACAGTCACTGGAAAACTTTATATCCAAAAAATCATGCTTTTATGATGAAAAATAGCGGCGTTTAAAATTTTTATCAATCTCGTTCATGAGAGCGTTTAGTGGTCCGGTCCGTCTTGTTTCAACTTAATTACTGCGCGCAATAACTACAGAACTTTTGATCAGGTTTAATCTAGAAAGCTTTAAAGCTGGGAGACTAGTTTATATAGAAAAAGGTAAATGGACAGACTTAGAAACAGACTGACTTAAAATTGATTGCATACAAATGTGTAATATAAAAAAATATCTAAAATTCATTTTTATAATAACAAGGGCTTACATAAATTATAATATTTTTCATTTACATGACTACATTTTGGTATGCTTGGATTTGTAAAATATAATAATACTGACCAAATACCATTTTGTTATAAACATTAAGAGTAGGGGGTTTTTTTTTTAATTTTTTTAGCAATAACTTTTAACAAATCGAAGAAAAAGTTCAAATTTTTTTATATTTAAAAAAATAACATTTTTTGTTTAATTTTTTTTTCAGCCTAATCTTTTCTGCTTTTGTGGCTGTGCTTAATGTGGTTGAATACTTTTTCAAAAAAATTTCTCATTCTGAGCCCGAAATAGTGCATCTCGGTCGTAAGTACAAACTTGCCTGCAATATTTTAAATTATAATCTCTTTTAAAAATTCAATACTTTTTTAGGTTAGGGTGTGACGATGCGATATTCGGCAAGCCGAAGCTGATATTCCCTTGCAGTCATCAAATATGTCGAAAAAAATGCATAAAGGCTTAACACCATCATAGCTATGACGATTTTTCTATTAAGGCAGGTTCTCACCTTGTAGGGCCGAAAAATTGACATTTTTTAAAAAAAATTGTTTTGAGAAAACGGTTAAAGATAAAAATCTAAAATTTGTAACTTTATTTGAAAACATATTTAATTTGCGAAAAAAAATTTCAAAATTGAAAAATCAAAAAAGGGGAGGGAGGTGGCGTTCCTGAGTTGCAACATTTCGGCAAGAAGGCGTCCCGCTTACGGAAGTGATTCAGCCAAAACGGGTAACCGGAAACACAAAAACCAAAAAGATTCTTAAAATACTGTGCATAAAATGAACTAGGATCAGAAAAAAAAAATAAAAATTGCAAAAGTTATTAGCTTTTGAAAAAAAATTTCGATTTTCGCGCTTTTTTTCTCACTAATTATTTTCTCAATTAAACAGTTTTCAATATTTTTGGATAATCCTAGTTCATTAGTTAAAGGAAACAATTAGGAATATTTAAAAAAAAATTTTATGACGATTGGCCAACCCCAACGCCTTCAATTACTTCCGTAAGGTCCGAAAACGTGGTTCCGAGATAAACGCGCTTAAAGTTTTGGCTTCCAATGGCCGGTGCTCGACATGTGCTTCGTCTAAGGGCCTGTAACTTTTGTAATATTTCAAATTTGGATCTGAAATTTTTTGAGAACATTTTCGGAACATATGTATATCTATACGGTAAGCCAAGAAAAAAAAAATCAATTTTTTTTTGCCACAAGGTGAGAACCTGCCTTAATTTTCCATATTTTCGACTATTGTTCATATGCCAGCTATATGATAGAGTTATCCGATTTTGATAAAATAAAATCCGAAATGCAATAGTAAAATCCGACTTATATACTGCGTGCAATAACTACACAACTTTTGGGAAAGTTTCAGCAAGATAGCTTTAAAACTGAGAGACTAGTTTGCGTAGAAACAGACAGGAGGACAGACGTACAGACGTATTTCGATTCTGATCGTGATGCTGATCAAGAACATTGTAGGAGAGTTTGATAACTGCTACAGTGTTAGTTTCAGTGTACGCCAGTATCCCCGCTATAACTCGGACCGAAATAGAGAACACGTCTTGTCGAGTTAGAGTCGTTTAATTAAGTGAAGTCAAAGCTCTCAAAGACTTATAACTATGGTTGCTGTCGGTCATTACGATCAGCTGTGTTATACATTCCAGTTGCTCTCAAACTAAACATAACAATGTTCCAACAAACTCCGGCTCAACTCGGATGTATAACTTCAAAAATACAAATTCATTAATTTACAGCATTGTAAATGTTTCTCCTTGGAAAGGGCTTTGGTAAATACATCAGCAACGTTGTCCATTGTAGAAACGTAGTCTATCTTGATTTCCTGGTTCTCTACTTGCTCACGAACAAAATGGAAACGGATGTCGATGTGTTTACTCCTCTTATGTACCATCGGGCAATAGCAATTGCCGCCTGGTTGTCGGATCTCAAAATCGTTGCTTCCTTGACAAGATCCTGGAAACCCATTTCCGAAAGAAGGCTTCGTTGGAAGGCAATTTCTTTTGTGCCCTGGCACATCGCAATGTATTCAGCCTTCATCGAACTTAGAGCCACCACGTTTTGCTTTTTGGCTTCCCAAGCCACCGGTGCTCCTGCTAACATCAGTATAAATCCGCTGTAGGACTTCCGGTCAGACGATTCTGATCCCCAATCTGCATCTGTATAACAAACAAGATTTTCTAAATTAGTACCATACTTAGTTATACCTTTAGATGCGCCTTTCAAGTATCGAAGTACTCGCTTCGCAGCTGTAAAGTGCTCCTTGTGCGGATGATTATTGTACTGGGACAATCTGGATACTGTGTGAGTATTGTCTGGCCGTGATGCCATTGACAAATAGTTGAGAGCTCCAATTAAAGATTGATATTTATCAACATCTTCCAGCTGGCTGCAATTCTTGTCCGTACATTTTTCCAAAACTGTTCCTAATGCAAATGGTGTAGGTGCTGGCTTGCACAAATCCATTTCCCATTCTGCCAACAAGAGTTTAGTATACCTATTCTGATGAATAGATTTGTCGCCACGCTGTCCATCTCGCTCAACTTCCAGTCCTAAATAGTACTTTACTGGTCCTCGATCAACTGCTTCAATATTTTCGTTCAATTTTTCCACAATCGCCGCCATTCTCTTCTGATTCGAACATGCCAGCAGCATGTCATCGACATATAGGGCAATTAAATTGATATCGCTTCCCGCTGACCGATCAATGTATACGCAACTGTCTGTAGCGCACTGCTTGAATCCTATATCTTTTAGAATCTCCGTGATTTTGATATTCCATTCATGTCCTGCCTGCTTGAGACCATAGATCGACTTCTTCAGCTTACATATAGCGTTTGGTCTGGCTTGATCCATAAACATCTCCGGCTGTCGCATGTATACATCTTTCTTAAGATTTCCATTCAAATACGCCGCCACGATATCAATGTGATTGACATATAGACTGAACTTTGCTGCAATTGCGAATATCAATCGTATAGTCGGATATTTGACTACCGGGGCGTATGTGTTGTTGTAATCGACGCACATCCGTTGTCCACAACCTTGTGCCACAAGCCTGGCTTTGTGTTTTTCAATGCTGCCATCTGCATTCCGTTTAGTTGTAAACACCCATTTACATCCTAAAACATTAACTTTCTTATCGATGTCCACAAGCTCCCATGTTTCATTCTTCATAAGACTTTGATATTCAATATCCATCGCCTTTCGCCATTTCCTTTTGTACTGGCTGACCAGCGCCTCTGTCACCGTCTTTGGATCCGAATTTTCTACCTCCAGTAGGTTCACACTTGCTGGAACGACAGGCTGTCCTGTTCGTAAAATTCGTGGGCGTCCGCGCTTCCTTGATCTTGGTAAGATAACGTCCTCTTCGTCTTCTTCGTCCTCAAGCTGTGGATCTTGACCCTCCAGTTGACTTGCACCTTCCTGCGGAGTATACTCTTCCTGTGGAGTATCCAGCTCCCTCGGAATATCCTGTGCCATGTGCTGGTTACCATGGTCGTCTGAAGATCCTTCACGCGCCTCTAGTCCAGAAATATTAATCCAGTCGAAGAATTTGTGGCCGTCAGAACTAACATCATTTCCTGTGTCGTAATCATCTCGTCCAATGGAAAACGATTTTTCCAGAAAGATTACATCCCTTGACACTACGATAGTTCTACCATGGATGTCATACAGTCGATACGCCTTGGACTTCTCTGAGTATCCTACAAAAATAAGTTTTAGACCTTTTGTTTCAAACTTTCCTTTACCTGGCTTCTTATTCAAACTTATATTGTCGCATCCGAATGTCCTGAAATGCCTGACACTTGGCTTTCAGTTGAACCAACATTCGTATGGAGTCCTCTCACCCAACTTCTTGGTAATACTCCTGTTGCGCACATAAGTAGCCGTATTAATGGCCTCTGCCCACAGGTACTGTGGTAGAGCCGCCGCTTCCAGCATACACCTCGCCATCTCGACTAATGTTCGGTTGGCCCTCTCAGCTTCTGCTGGGGTGTATAGCTTACCGTTGTTTGATGAATTATGCCATTATTTCGAAGAAATGCTTTAAAGTCCGTATTAACGTATTCGCGATCATTATCGCTTCGCATACGTTTAACTTTGCATCCGCTTTGTCTTTCTGCCTGAGCTACAAAATCCTTAAAAGCTCCTAATGCATCCGATTTTCTTCGAAGAAAATATGTCCACACATATCTCGTGTAATCATCTATAAACGTTATTACATAACTAGAGCCAGATATTGATGCCACGCGCATAGGTCCACATATATCTGTATGTATTAGCTCGAGCTTCTTCGTTGTGTATATACCATTAAACTGATCGAATGGTTTCCTTGTAATTTTACACGTTGCACATGTCACACAAACGAAGTCTTTATTATTATTCACTTCCAATCCACGAACTATACGCTTACTTGAGAGTTCCCGTAGATCCCTCGGGTTCAGGTGTCCAAATCTGCTATGCCACAATTCAATATTTGAATGTACCGCTGCATGCGCGCTGTACAGCGATTGTATACATTTTCCCGACACTCTAGCCTTAAAGATTCCAGCATCCAAAGTCGCATTTATCAATTTATGATTCTTTCCGTCCACCACACAGGTCAATTTATTTTTAAATTTCACAGAATGTCCAAAGCTTATTATTCTACCAATAGATAAAAAATTGTGGCTTAATTCTGGAACAAATAAAACTTCTCGTAGCAAGATGTCACTGCAAAACTGTGATTTTATTTTTACATCTCCTACTCCGTGTGCTTTGACTTTATCTCCTGATGCCATCGTTATGCTCTCATTGCTCTCTTTCAAATTTGCGAAATATGCTCTCTCCCTGCACATATGTGAAGAAGCACCACTATCCAAAATCCATTCGTTGTCGTCGATTCTTGATTTTCCGTTATTCGCACTCATTGCTTGGTTTCGTTCGCGATCCGCTTTGCATTGCGCCCTTATGTGACCTTGCTTACCGCAAGCAAAACATTTTATGTTTCGTCTTCGATCTTTATCAGTTTTCTGAAACTTCTTTGTTCCCTTAGCTGAAAACACTTGCTCCGTTCCGTTATCTTTCTCTATACCTCTATCGTCTCTCCTGGATTCCTCTTCCAATATCTTGACCTTCAATTGACTTAGTGACGGTAACTGATCCCTGCATTCCATTGCTACAACAAAATTTTCCATGTCGTCCGGCAAACTGCATAACAGCAAAATAGAAAGTAACTCTTCTGGAACTTTAACGTCGATCTCGTTCAAATTTTACGCAATCGTACAAAATTTTGTAACTTGAGGGGAGATTT